CCGGTGTCTTTTCCCCCCACTTGGAACTGAACCCAGAAGGATATTTATTTCCAACACCACTATTGTCAATAGTAGTGGATAGGATAAGGAGACAACAAATCTCCTCAGATTTGTTAGATTTCCTCAGCAAATCTAACATCTGAAGGCTTTGTATGACCTTCAAGTAACCTTTGGCTGACTCATGGTGAATGTGATGATAGCAGTGTTCCAATATCTGAGGGGTTGCCACATAGAAGAAGGAGTCAATCTATTCTCCAAAGCCCCTGAGGGCAGGACAAGAAGCAGAGGATGGAAACTGATCAAGGAGAGAAGCAACTTAGAACTCAGGAGAAATTTCCTGACAGTTGGAACAATTGATCAGTGGAACAATTTGCCTCCAGAAGTTGTGGATGCTCCAACACTGGAAGTTTTTAAGAAGATATTGGACAACCATTTGTCTGAAGTGGTATAGGGCTTCCTGCCTGAGAAGGGGGTTGGACTGGAAGACCTCCAAGCTCCTTTCCAACTGTATTATTCTGTTCTGTTCTGTTGAGTGTGGATCCCTGATCATCTCAGGGCTGAGAAAAGCCCAAAAGATCTACCACATCTATTTTTTCTTCTTTTACCTGTGCAATTTTTCAAAAGAATGCACTCCCAATATCGGGGAACTTGCAATTCTACCTATTGGAAGAAGCAGCTAGAAGTTCTAAGTCAATAAGAACTGGCAGGTTACAAATTCTCCACTCTTGCTTTCTGTAATGATTAGACATTCTCTTCCTTCTAATAGACAAAGTCACAAATCCTGCAGCTCAGCGTCTCCTTTCACTCACAGCTCTGCTCATTGGAAAATACCTCGGAGAGCACATTCCCCAGCATGCTTATTCAGAACTTAAATCCCAGTGTTCCCAGAGCAAACAATTCCCATTGTTCTTGTAACGCTAGGAGCAGCAAAAATCCCCTTTCTTCCATGCTGGACAGAAAGGAAATGAAGTAAGTGCTTGGGGGCCCCATCTCTGCCCAAATTTTCAATGTACTGATTATGCTGGTCTATATAAATAAATATATGATAAATTTAGGATAGATAAACAGAGCATTCCCCCTAGGGAGATAAAAAGACAGGCAAACAATTATATTGTCTACCTGCCTGCCTGCCTATCATCTATCTCTATTTATGTACGAATGTATGTACCTACTTACCTACCTACCTACCTACCTATTACAGCAGCAGTAGTTAACATGCACTTATAACTAATTGCAGGACATAGATTCAGGGGTGGGTTTCTACCGGTTCTGTCCACCTCTGTAGAACCGGTAGCTCTGAAGAGCAGCAGACATAGAACCGGTTCTATGTCTGCTGATGATTTTGCCCATCCGCCTGCCCAGGCTCTTACCTGATCTTTATTTCCTGATTTTTCAACTTCAGCTGCCGAACAAGGCACAGCTGCAGTTAGAAAAGCAAGAAAAGAGGGCTGTTTCAAAGGCTGCTTCTCTGCAGGCAGCTGCTGATGATGATTTACAGGTGCGTGGCTCGCAGCCTGCAGGGAGGCTCGTAAATCCCGAACCGGTAGTTAACTGTGGGAATAAAACTTTGGATTGGGTTTGGGTAATGATTAATCTAATACTTTGTACATACATGCTTGTTTAAAGGTCACTGAGATAGTGCAAGGAAATTAAAAACAAACACTAGAAACAATCAAGCAGCTCAGACAACTGTAAACAAGTCTGTACTATATCTAATTATTGTAATCCACAATGTGATTATGCTTGCTATGTTTACCATGTACTAAAATCTCAATAAAAGGGAGCACTGGAATTTGCTCTGGGCTCTCATCCCGAGAACACTTACCTGTGTCTCATTTTTCCATGAGAGACCACCACAGTTAACCCTGTCGCATCCCACCCCTGCATAGATTAGAACAACATGTTACAATAAATCAGAGAGCAACCCTAACTCTAACCACTGTACTCAGTTCTAAACGGTTCTAAACATCCGGGGGTGGGTGGGGGTGGGGATGTGTCTGCCTACCGAGATGAGGTGGACCGGTTGCTTTAATGGTGTGGAGACAATAACTTGGTCCTCAACAACAATAAGACCAAGGAGGTTATAGTGGACTATAGTAGGAACAGATCAGACAACCCAGCCCTTACTTATCAATAGAGACCAAGTGGAGCAAGTGACCAGTTTTAAGTTTTTGGGTGTTACCCTAAAAGAGGACCTGACCTGGGGGTGCTCACATTGCAGCTCTAGTCAAAAGGGCCCAGCAGAGATTATACTACCTGAGACTTCCCAGAAAATAACAACTGAATGAAAAACTGCTGGTGACCTTCTACCGCTGCACCATAGAGAGTATCTTAACTTACTGCACCTCTGTATGGTTTGCCAATTGCACAGGGGCAGATAGGAAAGCATTCCAGCGGGTTAATGTCATTGCCCAGAAGATCATTGGTTGCCCTCTCCCCTCTTTGGAAGAGCTTTATAGCTCCCGCTGCCTTAAGAAAGCTCAAAACAATCTCAAAGATCCATCTCATCCTGGGAACCCTTTTTTTGAACTATTACCATCTGGCAGACGGTACAGGATAATAAAAACAAGGACAAATAGGCTGAAAAACAGCTTCTATCCCAGGGCAGTAGCGCTTTTGAATTCTATTGTATAGTGCAGTGTTGGTGTGGTGTTGGGGGTTTTCGGTTCAATGTGTAGAGGGTGAAGGATGTGTGTTTGTGTTTATTTTCATGCTCATGATGTGCACTGAGGATGGTGTTTGATTTCGTTGTATGAGGTGCAATAACAATAAAGTAAAGTAAAGTAAAGTAAAGTAAAGTAAAGTAAAGTAAAGTAAAGTAAAGTAAAGTAAAGTAAAGTAAAGTAAAGTAAAGTAAAGTAAAGTAAAGTAAAGTAAAGTAGAGTAGAGTAGAGTAGAGTAAAGTAAAGTAAAGTAAACCAAAGGCATACTTTTTAAAAGCTAGTATTCTTTGATAAAGAGAAAAGGACAGGATTTTTTTTAAAAAAATCCAGGCACTTCCTGCTTTGCTCCAGGGTTTCTGCTCCTCTTCTAAAGGGAAATTCTTGTCAGTTTCACCAATGCTAGATCAAGCCACCTTTTCCCCCTTTAAAGGATGTGCCGGACTAGTGTTTTTCAAGCTTGATGACTTAAAGCTGGGTGACAAAAGCTGGGAAATATACATGTCCCAGGATAATGTTGCAGGATCCCATTTGAGTTGGTCGCTGGGACCAGAAGTTTTGGTCTTCCGAGCTTTCAGACTCATGCTGGAACTCATCCTCTCTCACAGAACAGTTTTCTCTCCCTCACCAGAATGGTGAGAGAGAAATTCCCTGAAGATGGGCTCCAGCACGAGTCCCAAAACTTGGAAGGCTAAACGTCCTGGTCCCGGTAACCAACCCAGACTGAATTCTACAGATGTGTGAACTTCAACTCCCAGAATTCCCCAGACAGCATGTCAAGAGCCCCCCCCCACCCCAAAGAAAAACCTGAGGGAATGGGGAAACAGGCTGATCCCACACAAAGCAGGCTATGTAGATCTCTCTTTTCTTCTTCTTTCTTTTTCCACTCTCTAGTTTTCTCTCTTCCTCCTCTTCTTTCCTTCCTTCCTTCCCTCCCTCTCTCCCTTGTCCCTTGCTCCATTTTCTGCTTCTCTTGCTTTGTCTTTCTCTCTCTCCCTCCTTCGCCCCCCCCCCCCCCCAACTCTGTCTCTGTCTCTGTCTTTTCCCACACCCTTTCTGGCTTTGGATTGCAGAGTTAAACTGTAAAGTAAGTCAACACCAAATTCAGCCAACATCATGAGATCACAGGAGTCACAACGGCTTTTGAACTCAAAGAGTTCTTATGCAGCAATGCCCCCAAATTCCTCGTTATTTCCAGCCCTATCTTTCCTCTGTTGTTTTCTTCTTATGCCACTTCAGGCCAGGGAATCTCTGTTCTCTGGAAGGCTGGAAAGCACCTTCCTTTTAGAGCTCATGACCCTTGGTGACAGACCAGACATTTTAAAAAAAAGAAGTATAAGGGTTGGATTAAATCCCAAAGTTAAAGAATAAATCTGAAAATGTATTTTAACAATCACATGTGTTGGAAGAAAATATCCTTCTGGGTCCTGTACCAAGTGGGGAAAAAGACACTGGAAACATGGAGGCTGTTTGGAAAGATGGTTTAATGGGGGACAGGATGACCAGCCTGGAGCTCTTGGGTGAAGAAAAAGGCGAAGAGATGCTGAGAGTCCCTGGGTTTTATGCCCTCTGTTGAGATTTGAATTTGAGCTTGTATTCTGATTGGTTGTCAGACTCCCATGGGGCCATGCAGGGGCAACTCTGTAGGCTGTGCTGAGTCTCAGGCTTGGTGGAGTCTTGCTGGATGATGATGTAATGAAAGGGCTTTGGACAATTCCTATTATGGGTCTGCCTGGAAGAGGTAGATCTTTGTTATGTAGAATAGACTGGCCCAGGCCTGACTAATAACCCATTGACAAAGGTGGCGGGGAGGCTGAGTTTCTGCCTCTCTGAGTTTCTCCTTCTCTTTTGAGGGAAATATTCTGCCTTTTTAGTATATCCCAAAATATTTCATTTTTCTAGGAAAGGGGTGGGTTTTAACTTCCAACACACGCATAGACTGCATTAGGCTAGCAGCTGGACTATTGGATTGGATCATGGAGATCCAGATTCAATTCTTATTGAATCTGATTTGGGGGACCTCCCTCACAGGATGAAGAACCAGAAATATTTTTAAAAATAAAATAAAATTGGGACAATAGAGAGGCTTCCTGTATGTCACTATTATTCCTGTCCATATTAGGAAAGTGTGACCTCCAACATGAAAGCTATGTGGTCTGGCAATAGCTGAACAAACGTTCCACCTGAATGAGCTTTTATTTTCAGTTTTGAGTTTAAAGAGTTTTATCATTTGGAAACTGACTTCCTCTGCCCCGCAGTTGGGATTCCCCCACCCATTGAAGCTTCCACTGGCAGGCAGTCTTATCCTCCCACTTTTTTTTATTCTGACTGCATCTTTTTTTAAGAGAGGAAAAGGTTAGTCTTGACTTTGCCTGGAAACTTATAAAACTTCAGAAAGAGAGATGTGGAACAACTGAAGGCCTGAGCAGCCAAAAATGAGGTATGTATCTGGGATGGTCAAAATGATTTTTTGGAATGTGATGGGGGGGGAGTAGAATAAGATTTATATTAAAGATGTAACAAAAGGAACAGAGTGGATATCAGCGGTTCTAGGAACAGGAATATTTAGTCCTAGAATTTGTTACATTACTGGGACTCGGTCTAGAAGAGGAGTCTCCAAATTTGGCAACTTTAAGATGTATGGACTTCAACTCCTAGAATTCTGGGTGGTGAAGTACAGAAGTTTTAAAGTTGCCAAACCTTGGCTGAGATAAATGATATCTGTGCACCTGCAGAATCCTTTCCTTCTTTCTCTCTGTTCTACTCACAAGTGATGAGCATATTTTTGAGACTAGAGAAGGTACTGAACCAGAATGAATTGAAAGTGGTGCCTCGTAGTAATGCATTTTGAGCTGCAGATTTTTTTTCTTAAAAAATGTGAGCAAATATTATAATTAGGTACCTTCACTGAAACACAAGTGTGCTTTTACTTCCTAAGAAAAAGGAGACAGTAAAAGTCATTGTGGCACATTAAACACTAACAAGACGGTTTTTATGTTGTTTTAATTCTTGATTGGAAGCAGCCCAGAGCTTGGGATGGGTGGTTATATAGATGATGATAGA